GTGGTCTGAAAGGGCGGGGAAACAGCCCAATGAGCATCACCGCAGAGGAGCCAATCAGTTGGCAGCTAGAAGTTTGCTGGGGCCGCTGTGAGCCAATCATCAGCTGGCAGCTGGAAGTTTGCTGGCAGCTGGAAGTTTGCTGAGGCCCCTTCGGCTGTGGCTCTCAACAAGAGGGTTCAAATGGAGAGTTGTCCCAGGGGAAGCGCAGAGCTGATCCCAAGGGCTTTGGAGGAGGTTGAGGTCTTCAAGCCTTGAGTCTGAGTTACTTTTTTAAATTTTTACCTTAGAAACCCAGATGGAGACAAAAAGCCGTGGTGTTTCATTAAGGTCAACAGTGAGAAGGTGAAGTGGGAGTATTGCGACGTTCCGGCTTGCTCAGCCTCAGGTAAGCAGGGCTGTCCCAAGGCCCATAGGGTGGGAGGAGACGGTCCTGGCACCCGGTTCCAGCCAACCCTGTTCCCCCTCCACACCTCTTTGCCAACCCCCCCTTCCACCTACCCACCCTCAGCAACCCTTTGATTCTCCACAAGCTGGACACTCTCCCACCCAGGCCAGGTGTCCAACCTCCAGCCTGTGATTCTGGACTCTGGGTTGGTACACTCAGCGGCTAGGTTTTGATCACTTGCCATGTTCCAGGTGCCAGGCCAGGCCTGGGGTCTATGATAGTGATTAGTTTCTGCTGGCCCCCCGCCTCTGAGGAAGCACATGGTCTGAATTCCAGCTCCAGGGCTCCTGCCAGCCTCCCCAGGCCCATCAAAAACTGCACCACATCCAGAACATGTGCTCTCCTACCCTGACCAGCAGGGGTTCCTCCTGACCACAGTCACACCTGTGCCTGGCTCTCAGGGTCACCTCTGGTAGAACACTTCATCCCATATCTGCTCTTGGCCATTTCCAACCATTCTTTGAGAACCAACTCAAGTGCACCCTCCTCCAAGAAGTCCTCCGTGATCTCCTGAATGGCGCACTCTCTCCTTCCCTATGCACCCTCAGGACCATTCATGCAGCATTTACCACTGTCCCTCTGCGTCCCAGTTGTCTGTGCAAACATCTTATCTCCCTATTCTACATCATCTGGACATTGCCCCTCTGCACTGAACAAGGCTCCAAAATACAGTGTGTGTTCATTAGCAAAGAGCTCAGCGATGGGTTTATATATCTGCACACACTTCCGTGTGTGTGTGCGTGTAGATCCCAGGAGCAACTCACTTTGAAATGGGAAGGAAAGCGATGTGTTCGATGCTATTTCTATGGTAGACTTGTGTTATGTGAATCGAGATGCAGAGGCTGAGTCGAGTGATTTGTTTTCTTGCGTCCTGCAGACATTGCCAACCTAGAGGGGGGCCCCGCAGAGCCCCCAGCCAAGCTGCCCGGGTTTGCCTCCTGTGGGAGGACCGAGATAGCGGACAGGAAGGTCAAGCGGATCTACGGCGGCTTCAAGAGCACTGCGGGCAAGCACCCGTGGCAGGTGTCCCTGCAGACCACCCTGCCACTGACCACCTCCATGCCCCAAGGCCACTACTGTGGGGGTGCGCTGATCCACCCCTGCTGGGTGCTCACCGCTGCCCACTGCACTGAGTAGGTGTCTCTGGGAGCAAGGACCAGGTGACTTGTTGGCAGGGGGGTCTCCCTTTCCCACTGGAGTGGCAGCTTGGCGGGATTAGGGACAAATGCTTCAGAGGCAAAGAGTGGCTCTTAGGACTAGAGAGAAAACAGCCACCACGTGGTCGGTGCCGGCCATGGGCGTCGCATGCATCGTACTCTATTTGATCCTCAAAACCATCTATAGGAAGACAAGTCAAGGGAGGCTGGGGATTCCTCTCTGTTTTATTAATTGTGGTGTCCTCAGTGCCTACAGCATGGTTTGTACACAGAGAGCGCTTGGTGAATACCTGGAGGTGAAGGGTATTTTTTTTTATTCCTCTTTTCAAAATGGAGTCATGTGGAAAGAAAGTGAGTAGATGGGGAGTGAACTGGCATCTATCTCCTGAGCTGTGCAGTCCTGCCCTGGACAGAGAAAGATAACCCACTCCATTGTCCGATGCCAGTATCAATGAGCCTCCAGGGTCAGGTGTCCTTGGCCAGGTCTCCTGTGTGCTTCCAGAAGGAAGTGACTTCTGGGAGCTCAAGAGCTGCCCCCTCCTCCAAAGGCCCCAAGTTCATGGTCAGGGCTGGTCCCACAAATCCCAGTTTTGGGGGGGACCTTGAGGGCTTCCGGTCTATGCTGTCATTAAATGGTTTATTATGGGATTCTGGGAGGTGCCTCCCAAGAGAGGCCAGACAAGTGACCATTAGTACCTACCAATGAATGTCAGCAGATGTGTTCACAACCCCGATGGCTGTCCTGCAGCCACGCCCAGGGAGAAGGGGAAGTCTCCCGGAAAGATGGATAAAAATGACAACATGGGTTTGGAGTTTGCGTCCATTAATAAAGAAATCCCCTCACGGTGTCACATATTTGGAACCCACAGTAGGGTCCTGTGCGGACGACAGGTGAGGATGCTGAGGCTGTTGGTCGGGAGTCTGCTGAAGGTCACCCAGCACCCCAGAGCAGAGCTGGGGTGTGGCTTCCAGGTCCCATGGCCCGGGACAATCTCCCCATCATCTAATTTTCCCTTCCAGCATAAAAGTCAGACATCTAAAAGTCGTGCTAGGGGACCAGGACCTGAAGACGACAGAGTTCCACGAGCAGACCTTCAGGGTGGAGAAGATGTTCAAGTACAGCCACTATAATGAGAGAGACGAGATTCCCCACAACGACATTGGCAAGTCTCCTCTGTTGCCAATCTCCTGGGGTCTCGTCCTGGGTGGGTTTCTCCACTGATGGAGAGCTGAGGTTTGGTCCTTGATCATTTTGGTCCCCTGTGGGTCCTATAAGGTAGAGAAATTATTTCAGAGCTTTTTAGATCTTAAGAGTATGTGTTTGTGATCTTAATAAATGGGCGACAGGTCTTAAGTTGAGTGGAAGAGATACAAGGGCATTGTGTTGTGGAAAGCACTCAACCTTGAACCCCAGGTCCCCTGCTTACTGGGAGCTGGTACCCTCCCTGAACCTCAGTTTCCTCTTCTATAAAATGTGGGCACTGTTGTACAACTCTTAACTTCCTACGCTTAGTGACACGATGAACCAGTGGCCGTACCTGGCACCTGGTAGGTATTCATGAGCAGACACAGCCTGCTTTTTAAAGTGGGTTAGAAGTGGTTTCAAACTCAATTATGATCCTTGATATTATTCTCAGTGTGTGTTGCTACTCCTAGGTGTAAACTTAAAAGGTGAAATGACTGAGGAAGAATTTTTTCAGGCCCAGGGTGTGGGAGGGCTTTGTCATGACCACCTTTCACACCAAGCTGAAGCTGATGCTTCTCAGGCAGAGATGACGTGGCCTGAGCTTCCTCCTCTGTCTCCACCCAGCTCTGCTCAAGTTAAAGCCCGTCGATGGTCATTGTGCTGTGGAATCCAAATACGTGAAGACTGTCTGTTTGCCTGACGATCCTTTTCCCTTTGGGACCGAGTGCCACATCTCTGGCTGGGGTGTGACAGAAACGGGTGAGTCTGGCATGCATTCTCCTGAGACTCAGGAGAGCCACATCAACCAGAGAGAAAAGGGCCAGCCTCACGTGTCCTTCTGAACTTGAAACAATTGGTTTAAGGTGCATTATCAAAAGGAAGAATCGACCTTGTCATCCCAGATCTAGCTAAATCTCACCATCAGCAAGGAACCTTCCCTGACTTTCCCTGATCTCTGTGTCCATCCCTGGTCCTGCCCCTAGATGCCTGGCTTCTCTCTCGCCTTGATCCTGAACCTGGATGACCTCTCTCCTTCCCTTGGCAGAGCAGAAAGGACTGTGGTGTCAGACGGGCTTGTGGTGGATTCTTGTCTTTGTTGCTTGAATAACTCAGTTTTATTTATTTATTTATTTTTATGCTTTAATTTTTATTTATTTCAAAATATTTTAAAAATTTTTTTTTGGTACATCTTCTTTGGCCCATAGAACATTGGGGTTTTTAAAATTTTTTATACATGACAGTAGAATCTATTTTAACTAATTACAACTCGGTTTTAATCTCCCAATAATCACACTTATCTCCAAGGCCTGGAATCTGCTCATAGCCAGATTAGATCCTCAGATACAAAGAAATTCAAAGGGGGAAGTTCAAGTTGTCCCCCAAACACTCTCTCCCAATCTCATTCTTAACAATGGAAAGCAAGAATCATTTTAAATCGGTTTGTATTCATGAAGAAAGTGAAATGTAATATGCAGATTTGTAGAAGGCTTTTGGGAAAGGAGATTTCTGACCAAATGGACTTAGGGTCAGCCAGAAAACTTTTTGTGTCCATTTTCATTGCAATCCACCTAAGCCTGTCCTCCTCTCCTGTGCTCAATGTGATCGGGTGGGTATAATGATGTCTTAGGGATCTTATGGGGCCTTTCTTTGTCTTGAATAGTCCTCTAAGACTGCATGTTCAAAATCAATGACATGTTTTAGCTGATTTCACTACTTTAGGGGATCTCTGGGAAGCAGGTAATTTAATGCACGGGGATACATCTGTGCCTTCATCCTTGCATCCTGAATACACTACATGCCAGCCCTTCCGTTAGAGATAGGAAATTTAAGAGTGGTACCACACCGTCCCTGCTCTCCCAGACCTCGCGGTGCCGTTGGAGAGATGGGAGGGCACCAGCGATGCCCCTTGGCTGCTGTCAGGCAGCTCGGCTCTGCACAGGTGGGGAGGCTAAAGGGAAGGGAGGTCGGGGCCTCTCCACCATCTCCTGGAATCCTCCTTCTCTCCTGAGCCGAGGGCTGATGGCCTTCTCCTTACTCCTGTGGGCTTCTGGTGTGGTGGGTGTCCCCAGGTCCCCGAGGTAGTGACTCTTGTCCCTGTCCCCCAGGAGAAGGGTCCCGACAGCTGCTGGATGCCAAGGTCAAGCTAATCTCCAACACTGTGTGCAACTCCCGCCGTCTCTACGACCGCACCATCGACGACAGTATGATCTGTGCAGGGAACCTTCAGAAACCCGGGCAGGACACCTGCCAGGTCAGAGACTCCAGTGGCACTCAGGGGACAGGCCGGCAGGAATCACGCTGGGCACAGAGGCCCCCTAGAGCTCTGTGAGGGGAGCCAGGGTCAGAGGGCCACCTGCCACAAAGTGGAGGCCCAGGCAGAGGACCTGTCTCCCCTGGTGCATCTGAATCTACATCCAGCCAGACGAGTGGGCGTAATGGCCACAGCAGGCCTGCAGGGTCTAATGTAACTCTCACAGCCTTCTGGTGCAGGGGTGTCATCCTCACCACCTCATGGCTGCTTAGAGAAGTTACCTTGGCCGAGAGACAGAGACAGAGAGACAGAGGTGGGGGTAATTGATTTAGTCCTGAAAAGTAAGCGGTTCCAGGGCCACAATTAACCTAGGGCCTGATGACATTCTTCCTGCTCCAGACTTTTGGGAGTCCCAAGCTGCTAGGTCTGTGGGGACAGCTGGAGAGGAAAGGGTGCTGAAGAGACCTCAGGTTCCCAAGTCAAAGCCCCCTCCCGGCAGCCCCTCTCCCTGCAAGTCCCATATCACACATGACGTCCTCCCCAGATTCCCAGGAACACCTCAATTTAGGGTTCTCTGTCCATAGTCCTTAGAAGCCACCCCACTGTCCTGGAAAACCCAGCATGGCCACATTCAAATCCTGTCTCTTAGAGCATCCCTACAAAGGAACCCAGCAATGACTTGCCAGCCTCGAGCCCACTGGGGACAGGAAACTGAGGTTTCTTTCTCCAGAGTTTGTGGCTCTCCTGCTACCCTGTGCCTTTACCAGGAAGCCATGATTTCCACCTGCTCAGGGCAGGGGCAAAGGCAGGTGGGTGCAATATTCACTGAGCCTTTGGAAGGTGAGTAAGAAAGGCAGTTGCTCAGTTCTCTAGACAATGCGAGGGCTTTGGAAACCAAAGTCATGGGTTTCAAACCTGGTTTAGTCTCATGTCATGTGACCCTTATCAGTCACCAAAGTAATTCTCCAATCTCAGATGCCTGAAGGGACTAATGTGTCCCTCAGATGGTAAGGTGGCAGCTCCGGTTAAGAGAGAGCAGTCACTGCTTAAACCCTGTTAGTGGCAGAGCCTAAGCAGGAGTGACTGGGAGGAGCCCGCGTCCCACCCCCCACCCCCCACCCCCGTCTCCTCCCCACCCTCCCCCTCACCACTTCCTCCAGGCCCATTCTATGTACTTTACAAAGACTCCTCACAAGAGCCCTTGGGAGGGGTGTCTGTTGCCATCCACAGATTAGAATTGAGAAACTGAGGCCCCGTTTATCAAATGGTTCGGAACCCAGAGGACCCAACCCCACAGCCCAGGTTGAACCGTGGGCTAGGCCATGCTGCCTCGGAGTCCCTGCCCTCCCCCAGTTGTAGGTCTGTCCAAACAGGGCTCATCCCCTTGGTCACTGCCAGAGGAAGTAGAAAGCCCCTGAGAACTGGCAGTGATCACATCCAGAGGACCAGGAGCAGGAGGTGGGAGAGAGGTGGGGGCGTCTCTGATGTCTTCTGGCCCAGGAGACTGAACTCCGCCTGCTCTCCCCCTCAGGGTGACTCTGGAGGCCCTCTGACCTGTGAGAAGGATGGCACCTACTACGTCTACGGGATCGTGAGCTGGGGACTAGAATGTGGGAAGAAACCAGGCGTCTACACCCAAGTCACCAAGTTCCTGAATTGGATCAAAACCACCATCCACAGTGAGACAGGCTTCTAAGATGCTGTCCTCAGGACCCCAGAACCCCTCTGCACCAAGAGGCCCTCCTGGGCAGTCAAGGACATTGCTGGAGCCTCCAGGAGGCCACAGCCAGAGTGTCCAGGCTCTAAGCAGAGATAACTGCTATCCAGGCTGGACCTGGTGGGACCAGTACCATCTCACGAGGCTCCCAGGAATGATGGCATCAACGTCAAACAACTGTGCCCTCTAGAAAATCAGCATTCACAGAGTCTGCCTTCACCGGGGACATCTGCAAATGCGAGACTGCAGGATGCCCAGCTCCAGGGGCAGTCACCTGGACTCTCCTCATTCCAAACACTGAGGCACTCAACACAACCAGCCACCCTCCTGGGGCGGGGGGGGGGTGGGTGGGAGACGACCAAAAAAATACAACCTCCTCCGTTTGGTTTCAGAATTGTTATTTTAATAAAGGCAGCTCTGGGGATGGGCTGGTGTGCTGTGTTTCACAGCTTGCCCAAACCGAAGCCATCTTGAGCACGGATGTGTCTGGCAAGCAGACTTCCTCTGTGGCGTCTCTCTCGAGAATGGGGGGTGGGCTGCCTGCTCACATCCACAGAGCCTTTTTCCTTTTGACGTGCAGAATCTCAGTGGCATCTGGGTTCACCTCCCCCCTCGGGTGACCTCCAGCCTCCACCACCTCCGGCTCCCCCTGCAGAAACCAAACATACTTCCCTCAGTTGAAAGGAAGCCCCTGCCCTGCTCCCACAAGACGTACCAAGATGCCCCCGGAGCCTTGAACATGCTCACCCTCCCCTCCCCCACCCTGCCCAAGAAAAGTGATCCTCAAGGCAAGGACGAGAAAGCAGCAGAGCCCATCTCTCATTTAGCCGTGGAATCTTTCTTCTGAACAAAGTAGGGTTCAAAACGCAGACTGTTGTAGCCAGAGAGTCCCTGACCCTTCCCGCGCCTGTAACGAGCAAGCAGTCAACGCAGCCCGGGCTGCCCTGGCCCGGGATTGATGTCGCCCTGGTAGGTTTGCCTCTGCAGAACTAATGGCTGCGACTTCAGAGAAAACCCTGCAGGAAGTTTAACCCACATGTCATCCGCCCGGTCATCTCAGACCCAGGAAATTAGGCGCCTCGCTCGAGCTGTGTTTCACACTTCTTTAGCGCCAGCTGACCTTTGGCCAAAAATAAACTTTGAAAAGAAACAATGAGTTTGTCTTTCCCATGGTCTTGCAAGACGGGGGGCAGGGTTTACTGGCTACTCACATAAGCCCCCGGGAGACCCAGGCCCCTCATGTTGGCCAGTTCTGCAGCCCGCCGAGCCATTTCCACTTTGTAGGAGCCGGGAGGGGTCCAGCCGACACCCCTAGTCAGGTTCAAGTCTGATTTGTACTTGACCTTGGGGGAAGGAGGAAGCAGGAGGAACAAGTCAGCAGGTTTGGGGTTCTTGGACCACCTGGCAGATAGGATTTTTTTTTTAAAAGGAAGCCAGAAGAAGCCGAATACGTAGTTGTCAGCAAAGCCAGGATGAGAGGAGCGGAGTCGTGTTAAGCAGGGGCTCCCTGCATGGGGACCTTGAGCTGGCCAGCTGCAGCTTCCCTCATCTGCCCACTCAAGCAATGAGGGTGAGGAGGATCTGGGGCCTGCTCTAACTCACTAACTTAACTTTCCTCCTCTGAACTTTAGTTTCTTCCCAGGGAAAGTGCAAGAGTTGGGTAGGGTGACTACTAGGACCCACTGGAGGTAGTATAGTGATCCACCAAGAGCTTGGGCTGTCACATCAAGCCAAAGGTGGGTCACATCCCAGGTCTGCCACTTAATTGCTGTGTGATCTTGAGTAGGTTATTTAACCTCTCTGAATCTGGAGTTCCTGATCTATAAAATGAAGCAGTCCTGGGGTTGAGGACAACGGGACACAATGCTGGAAAAGCATTTGGCACAGAGCCTGGCCCCCAGGAGAGATTTGAGAAATGGCAATTACTGTTCTAGTCCTCCTGGTACTAAAGTGTCTCAGAAGCTGTCTCAGCCTGGCTCGCCCCAGAAGGGAACATGGGACCTGTGAAGGTACTCACGTCACTCTGCAGCTGGTGGGCCTTCTGCGCGTGCTTCAGGCCCAGCTGCTCGGGGTCGCACGTGGGCTGGGGCAGGGGCTGCCGGTAATGCACGTCGCTGGCCAACTGCTGGCTCCTCTTGGCCTGGAGGAAGCCAGGCTGGTCTGTGCGGCTGTGGAACTGGGACCGACTCTTGGCAAAGTCCTTCTTGTACTCATTGTCACTCTGGAGCCTGCCGACGTTCAGGAAATGCTTCATCCTCGGGTCATCGTTGATGCTGCGGTAGCCAATCTGCAGGCCCCGGTCCCGCAGGAAGGCCTCTCTATACCGGAACTGCAAGTCAGAAGAGCAGAGGGTCACGAGCCTACCTCCCCTCCAGGGCCAGACTCCAGGGAGCCCACAGGATTCTCAGCAGGAAGCACCACAGTGGCTAGAAACAGGCTCTGGATTCAAGTAGACCTACCTCTGTGGCCCTGGATCATTGGCTGGGCCTCTCTCAGCCTCAGTTTCCCTATCTGATAAAATGGAAGGATGACTCTCCACCCCATGGGATGCGGAGAGGATTCAATGAGACGGGGGTGGGGCTTCAAGTCCAGCACCAATTCAAGCCCACCGATGGTGGCTCTTGATACTATTGCTGTTGTAATCAACACTCCAACAGGACAAGAAGCATGACCCATTCTTCCTTTGATCCCTAGTACCAGACCTAGTCAGGTACTTCTCAAATCATTTATGGTGAGGGACCTGTCTTATTTTGTGTTGTTAAATTTCTACTCCGTCAAAGACCCATGTGCGGTTGGACCACACGCTCTTGATAATACCCAGATTGGCCGTTACCCTGTTGAGTGAGAAGAGTCCACCACTCAACCACACGCTTTGTTGTCTCAATGTCTGTTGCTAAGAACGTTTCTGATCACCAGCTCTTGATTTATGTACTTATCTCACGGTGGACTGGCAAGCAGCTGGCCGTGGGGTGAGCCTGTGCCTCCTGTCTAGTTACTGAAGCTCTCCTCTTCACTAATTATGGCAGCTGGGTTTTGAACATCTGCCATGAGCCAGACACTGTAAGCCATTTCATTTCCATCCCTACATCAGTCCTAGAAGACAAGTACTAAATCTCCATTTCGTAGATGTAGAAGTTTGAGTTCAGAGAATATCAGCAACTTGCTGAAGAAAACAGCCAAATCCTAAGTGGCTGAGCCAGGATTTGAACTCAAGCCAACGTAGGGCACAGGCCCAAAGGCTTTCTCCTCTCCACATGCACTTCGGCTGAAAGAGGTCCCTTCCCTGCACACCAACCAATCACATGTTCTCTGACCTCCAGATGCTCATCCGTCCACTCTTAGGATTGCCACTCTTAAGAGAGGGAGTAGGAAGGCAACCCTCCCCACCCCAATTTTCTGGCTAAGATCCTAGAAATCAGGCCCTGATTTTTCATTCCTTTGAAATCCACGTTCAGGTTTGATGTGGAGAGAGGGGCACTCGTGATAGTCCTGGTGCCTGTCCTGTGCTTTTCAGCAGAGCAGGGGAAACCAAGCAACCCTCTCAACAATGCAGAGCGCGCAGGGTCTTACGTCGCTGGCGATCTCCCTGGATGCCCGGGCAGTCTGGAACGGGATGGCGTCCAGCCTGAAGTCGTAGCCGCCAGCGCGGGTCTGCTCCCAGGAGTTTCTGTAGACTTTCTAGATGGGGAAAGGAAAAGCGTGGGTAAGCAGGGGCGACTTCATTGTCGCCGTGTAATGATTCTCAGCAAGAGGAGTTCTCAAAAATGGTTCCCATGGCCCCCTTGCATCCTGGGGACTCCCCAGCTCTGGGATCACTGGGGCTGGCCATGAAGGCCTTCAGCTCTAAGCCCCCAACCCGACCACTGGATCTTGCTCTTGTGGGCCTGGGTCTCAGACACCCCTTCCCCTTCCTTCCCATCTCTGCCTTCACTCTCTGGGTCCAGGGTCTGCAGTTCTACGGGCCGGAGCTCAAAGTTCAAGAACCCAGTTTCCTCCCACGTGCTGACGGCGCTGTTCCTGGGGTCTTGACACCTGCGGGTTTGTTAGCTCCAGTGACTCCTGGGGTGAGGGCTCGGCCTGGTTTTGATGCCACATCCCACACCTCTCCTGAGCACCCCAGGGGCCTGCTCCAAGGGAGGAGCCTTCACCTGGATTCAGTGTATTGTCAAGAACCTGAGTTCGTGACCCATGTGTTTCATGTCCCTTCTTTCATTTTTTCCCTTTTCAGGTTGTCCCCGGGCCCCCTCCAGGAGTCTGGAATCACTAGCCTCGGTCCTCGGGTAGACCCACACCACCAATGGAGGTGTCAAAATCTCCAGTGCCTTCATGTAGCGATTTTTTTTTTCAAGGTAAGGGAATGACTCCATGAAAGGCGTCCTCGGGAGGTCCCAGCGGAGGGCTCGCTTTTATTCAGCCACAGAGAAGGGAGACAGCAGGAAAGCCGCACATCACCAACAGAGGACAAAGTGACGGCCCCAGACCTCATCACGACTCGCTTGTTTCATCAGCCACAGCGGGGCAGGGCCCTTAAAGAATCTTACTCTTGTCACCCGGAAATAGAGGTCAAGGCTGGTCCTCTGTTCCATGGGGGGATTGGGAGATGGAGCAAAGGAGGAAGGGCAGAAAGCAACGAAGAGGCCCAGCCCCTCCCAGGCTGGGCCTGGCACCAGAGGGAACCATGAAGCACTGGGCCAGGCAGGGCGGGTCTGTCACCTGTGTGTGCCTGTGGTCATCACCCTCACTTTCGCCCCCACTTCCCCCTCCAAAATCCAACAGCGCAGACCAGGAACCAAATATCTACAGTGTCCGAGGGCCTGGAACGCAGACCAGTCATGCTGGGGAAATCACCTAATTGATGGATACAGAGCCTAAACAATTCCATTTACTGGGTGTCACCCTCGAGTTTGGCGGCTAGCACTGGAAGACAGAAGGGAGGAGCCTTCAGATAACAGCAGAACAGCGATCCCCTTCAGCATGATGCTTCCTATTTTGGTGGCCCCACCTCATCAGATAGCAAACAGTCAAAAAGCCCTGTCACCCTCTGTGTCGGGGACACAGTGTCTCTCTGAGAAGAGCCTCCACGCCAGGCCCGGGCTGGCTAATGACACCAAGCTTTGCACAACCTCCAAGCCCAACGTCATCCCACGCTGGTGTCCCATATACCCAGCTTCGGAGTATCGGTGGCTCGGGGGTCATCTGGCCAGAGAGTGGCCCGAGCTCCTTCTCCTGTTCTTCCTCCTGTCTACTCTTTGCCTGATTATGATCACTTCCCCCTGAGTTTTTTATTCTGTTGAGGTTTTTGCCTTGCCACTGGGATCCTTAGATTCTGGAGGCCCTTTGATTTGGAACCCTGGGCGCTCCTCTTCTTGATCACAGTGGGCACAGTCTTGTCCTCGTCCTCACGCATTAGAGCCATTTGATTTTGAGTTATTCCGGCTGCCTTGCACATCTCAATGGCTTTCTTTGCCCAGGAAGGTCACTTTGCCTCCACCTCCTCCTCACAGAGCACTTGATCCAATTGTGCGTATTCCACACGCCCCCAGAGAAGCGCTCTTTCAAATGAGGTCCATGAGTTTCACACCTGCACGCCCCGGCAGCTAATTTCAGCTCGAGGACTCTGTGGGGCTGGCCCCCCATGAGAGGGAAGATGCTCCCCGCCACTAACCTGGGGTGGCTTCTTTCCTCCTTAAGCTGGGCCCCCAGTGGACTGGCAATTTGATCCCAGCTTCCATGGCTCTGGGCCTCCGGAAGTCCCTCCAGTGGAGGCCCTGCCTCCCCATCCTGGCCGCTTAATGAGCTAGATGTCCTGAGCCAGCTCTGCGGAGGGGGCGGTCCAGCTTCCCCAGATGGAGGTCAGCCCACCAGAGCTTCTGTTCTAAAATTATCCCTCGTGCATCCCTCAAAAGCATCAAATGGTCATAATAACTCATATTTACAAAGCACCAGCGCATTCACTGCGTGGGATCCCACAGGGCTTTACAAACGCAACAAACTAATACACACGCTAACTAGAAGGCGCCTCTTGCCAACCCCTGCGAGGCGGCCACCTCTGGGGTGAGCGGCAGCAGCTGTCGATCCGCACGGAGCCCCAGGACACAATGGCCAGGCCAGGGAGGGAAGAATGGCCAGGCTCTGGGAGGCCGCTCGCTGCCCCAGGCTGACACACTCAGCCTGTGTTATTCCAATCTGAGAACGTCTTTTGATTCCAACGCCTCTCTACCTGTTATCCAGGGATCATAGCTTTGCTGGCCATGCAGCTGCCTATTCTATTACTACCGGGGGGTGGGGGGGCTCCAACCCCTGCTAACAACAAGCCTGGGTCTAGGAAACAGCATCTTGGTCATGCAGGCGTCCCAGGGAAACTGGAGTGTTGCAGGGGACAGATACATGGACAGAGGGGCAAGTGCATTCGGACAGGAGAGGCTACCATGGGGCGTCTCCCCAAGGTGCAGGGTGAGGTGGCGCCACTCCATCTCCATGGCTGCACTCCTCTGGATGGCTGAGGGAACCAGGATGCAGACACCTGCGGGGGCCAGGAGAACACGCCCCTGACCACTATCTAGCACACACTAAGGTCCATGGAGCCATGCCCAGATCAGAATATTAGAGCCAGAAGGAACCTCATGTCGCTCAGCCTCAACCGGGTTTTACAGGTGAGCAAACAGGTCCAGCAAGGAAAGTGTCAAAAGTCACACAAACAGTGTGTCCCACTCTCAGTTCACTGTTCCTTCTCTTTCACCTCCTCCTTCCTAGGACTCTTCTATTTCTAATGAATAAAATCCACTTCGGGCACAGGTCATTTTAGCAAAGTAGGCCCACAGGACAGGGACCAGAAGCTCACTTACGTCACTCAGGTGCAGCGCGTTGAGGCGGGCTCGGGTGAACTCAGGGTGGTCGGGGATCAGGGTGTATCTGTGCAGGGCTTCTGCATCCCCCAACCTGTACAGGCGCTGTGGGTAAGGCAGACTCATGGTCAAGGGTGAAGCCACAGGGGAGAAGCAGCTGATTCTCTCTCCTGCCCCTCCCACACAACTGCCCACCAGATGGAGCAAAACCCAGCCCTACACAAGGAGAGGTCCTTCTAGAATCTTGTGCCTGGAGGCAGCAGCCTTTGGGACCAGGGTCAAGTGGAGGTGGCTGGTTCCACATAGACCCTGTTAAAAATATTCACCAAGATCTGCTCCAAATGGATCACAAATCAACATACTGGCTGGCCACACTTGCTGTCTAAGGTGTGTGGATATTTCAGAGGGTCTTTGCAAGGGAGCATGACACATGATTTTTACTGGTAATAAGATACAGCTTCAGGCCTTTGTTGTTTAATACTAATAGAAATAATAATAATAATACACCTAAGAAGTTATTCTTATTACAAAATGTCAACATGTATTCAAAAAAATTTAAGCTTTTCATAGTTCACCCAGGACCCAAGCAGATACAATTTTAAAACTCAAACTACATCATGATTGCTACATCTAGAGCAGCAAATGAAAACTTGTAGCCAGGTTTGGTGGCACACACCTAGAATCCCAGGGAATCAAGAGCCTGAGGCAGGAGGATCACAAGTTCAAAGCCAGCCTCAGCAACTTAACAAGGCCCTGAGCAACTTAGAAAGACCCTGTCTCAAAATAAAATATAAAAAGGACTGGGGATGTGGCTCAGGGGTTAAGCACCCCTGGGTTCAATCTCCAGTACCAAAAAAAAAAAAAAAAAAAGTGCGAACAATTTTAGAAAGTATTTGAGTCTCATGTAATTTTAAAGAGGAAAATATCCAGTCTCAAATTCACTATGGACTTTGCAAATGCAAATGTACAGGTCAGTACAGCATCTGGGCTCCCTGTGTGGATGGGGCAGCTCTGTCCCCGTGCTTACAGGATCGATTCCTTGACAATCCAGGAGAGGGAAAAATAGGTTCCCACTTCTTGAAATAAATACAAGATAGAGGAAATGGAGCTAAATTATACAGGGAGCATAAGCAGATTGAACGTAGCTGCTCTTCCTTTTCCTTTTCTTTTTCTTTTAACCTAACTGGGTTATATTAAGCTTTTAATTCCATTGCCATTCATCAGCAATTAAGATATATCTGGTCTCTCGCAGGGTAAGGGATCATCAATAATACTTGGCATTATTATCATTATGATTATGGATCAAGCCATAATAAGGGGCATTTATACAGTACTTGCCGTACTCGCTAAAAGCTTTATTTGCTTTTATTTATTTAATCCTCACTTAATTCACTTAATCTTATGAAATCATTGCTCTCATTTTTCCCCTGTCCCGCAACCCCCTTCACATAAGAGACCTGAGGTTAGAAGAGTGAAAGTAACTGACCCACAGTCATCTAGAGAGAAGATTTGCAATCTCAGAAGGTTTCCATTCCGGGAGTTAAATAATGGACCAGGCCTATGATACAGGAAGTCCCCACAAACAGGATTTGAACCCAGAGCTTGTGTTCTTCAGCACTGACCACTGAGCAGCTGCACCCCACCGCATGCCCAGGATGAGTGAGGAGAAAGAACCCACCTCGTTGCAATGCACGTAGCTATTCTTGGCGTGAACCAGATCTGGGGAGTCAACCACTGTGGTGAACTTGATACTGTCTGGTTTTTTACGGTATTTGGTCTATAAGAGAAAGACAAAGGTTTCCACCAAACACAGTCGCACATCATGCATTTTCCCAGATGTGGCTTCACCCCACCCCCTTTAGAATCAAAGATACCAGTGACATTATTGGAGAACAAATCTTTCTGGTGGGTACCCAAATCAATAGCATGGGAAAGATCCAAGCTCTCTTCTGTGATTAGGAACATTTTACAGGTATTGACTCTCTTAAAGAAAAAGACTCTTCACAATAAAGGAATAGAGCAGAGGACAATGTTCAGCATTAACGTGATCCTGCTTGGACCCTGACCAGACAAGTTCCATTATGAAGGACACAGAGAAGGCAGAGTCACCCATAAGGGGATTCCAAGGGAGGGATCTCCAGGTCATTAACCTGGTGGGGAATTCAATGAAGGACACTGTGTGCCACCTTTAACACTCTCTGAGACTGTCTGGACACTAGACACTATGAGTCAACTCGGTAGGCAGGTGCAAACTCCTTGCCTCCAATAAAATAATGGCCATATTTGATCATGATTGTATATACTGTGTTTACTGAGAACCTTCTAACATGTTTGCCTTTAGTTCCCCAATAGTGATTTCCTTTGGTGGGAAATCTCATTCCGTTTTAGAATTTTGTTGCAAATGGTCCCAGAAAAACACTGGGAATCCAGCAGCCCTGGATCCCGCTTGGGATCCCTACTCCATGAACAGGTTCTCTCTTCAAAGAAGTGTCACTCTGGAAGGGACAGGTTGATGGTACCTCGCTGATGAGTTCTCCCGCCTTCCTGGCGCTCTCTATCTGTGGGGATCTCAGTGCTAGCCATCCTGTCCCCTTCATGGCCATGAGGTCCGACTTGTAGCGAAACTGCAGAAAGAAAGTCGTGGGCTTTCTCAGCAGAGTGCCCAAGACTCTTAGGGCACTTCAAGAAGGTCCTTGACTTGCAATGGCATTTGCAATAAGTCTCCTTACAACAGTTCAGCCCCTTCCTCAGGAGCGCATTCTGCGGGTCATCAAGTCCAGTCATTTGCATTGTGCATTCTGCCAGGAGGTAAATAATGAATCCTGCACGTGATACAAGAAGCCCCCACCAGCAGGATCTGCAGCCAAAGGTGATGGTTTCTGTGAACTCTCACTTAAAGAAAGAGCTGAGACATGTGCTCAGACCCAGGCAGCGGCCAGGATTCTTTTATGTATGCTGCCAGGGAGATGACTGACCACCTGCCCATATCAAATCGCTCCACTCAGTATTGGGTTGAAAAAATTGCTTTGAGCCCAGATCAACCCTGCTGTAACTAGGGGCAAATTTTACCAAAATGTGACTCGATTTCCCTCTGTGACACTGGAAGGTCATGTCAACCCCTCTGTTCTCATGAAAACATGTGAGAGTACTTAGGGACAAGAGCCAGTTAGAGTTTTGTTCTTGTGGTAGCAAAAATGAAGGGGGAAGGAGTCAATGAAAGCAGGATTTAAAACACTGAATCAAATTTAGTCACGATGGGCTAAGAGTAAGCCATTTTAATTCTTCAAGCCTCAGTTTACCTCGTCCCACTGTGTCATTATGATTTGCTTATATTGCAAAAATGGGCTAAGCTTTGTTCTCTTTCTTCATTTTAAGGGCTCAGAAGACTAGGACTACAGCACCATTCCTTGGAGAAAATAATAAGAGGTGCTTTTAAGACAATGGGTTGATTAGGAGCCCCCCAAAACATCAAACCTTACAACAATTCCTTGATCTGCCCACCATTACCTTCAATGAGACAGTCACCTGCATCCCTTTCTTCTTCTCTTTATGGAAATTAGGCATTTTTAAAGGTGGAAAAGCCTCTCTAAGGAAATCTAAAATTTGGATCTAAACGAAGTCAATGGCATTTCTCTAATTTAGATATAAGCTCTGCTGTAACGCAAAATATCACTCTGGAAATCAGCCTCTCGGCCTTTTTAGTTTTCTTTCATTTCAGGATTCACAGTGCTCCTCACAGCTGGCCTCAAAGAGAGTCCGTTTCTGATCTGCTGTCTGCTGGCTAATGCCCCTGTGCCAATTCCACTCTGCCTTCCAACTGGTGGAGGGAGACATCACTCAGGCTTGGGAGCAGGTTTCAAAACCCCATGTCAGTAAGATTGCTTTTTATACCGCGATCTTTCAGTCTACACCGGCAAAGCTTTTGCCTTCTACTCTGATAAAGAACAGAGAAAATTGGATAAATTTCTAAGTTGGAGAGAATAATCCTACAGGGCCTCTTCACAGCCAGGCCTTGCTCCTTTCATAAGCCAGATGAAGTGGGGAGCGCTCTTTCAACTCGCCTTTTGTTGAGCTGAACAGTAGGATCGCAGGTAAGTCAGAAAGCAAGATGCAGGTTCCCCAAAGATCTGACTGCACCTCACACTCTCTTATAAATGGATCGTCTATTGAAATCTCAGCTCCCAGCCCAGCTTTGACTATTCACCAGACCCTAAAAACAACACACCTGCCCCAGACTTCAGGATAAAAGAGGGGAGAGGGCGGGGAGTGGAGAAGAATCAGCTACCCAAAGACGGCTTCAGAGAAGGAGCCTAAGATAATAATAGACCTTCCCAAACTGCCCATCCAAATCTGGCTTCAGCAAACAGCAACCTCGCTATTTTCCTTCCATATACTAAGACCTGGAAGACACCTGCAGAGTCATAAGTGGGGTTTGGGGGCACCCCCGTTTTGGAGCACTCTGTTGCAAATACACTAGAGGCAACATTCAGTCTCTGAGTTATGATGAACCTGTGAGTGAATGATGTGAGTACCCAGGTGCCTAGAGGAAGGGGTATATGTACTAATTAGAAACATTATCATGTCACCTTGTGTGCAGTGGAGCTTGCTCTAGACCCACTATCTCGTTCCACCCTCACACTGTCCTGCAAAGGGAGGGTTCTTATTCTCATCTGCATGTAGAACATGTTTGGTGTTTCAAAGATGGGCTGGATTCACCGAACAGCCTTGAGCTGCTGCACTCTGGGTAGGTGTTATGGTTTGGATCATTTTTCAAAGCATGGTCCCCAGGTTCAGGGGTGGGGCTTTTAGGCTTTTGAATCATGGGGATTTTGACTTCATCAGTGAATTAATCCACCCAATGGATTAATCCATTAATCCACTGATAGTTAATGGACTATTGGGAGGTGGGACCTAGTTGGAGGAAATAGGTCAATGGGAGCATGCCCTGGGAGGGTTGATCTTCTCTCTGGTCCCTTCCTATCTCTCTATTTCCCAAATGCCATGAGCTAAAAGTTCTCCCTGCCATGTCCTTCCGCCATGATGGAGTTGGCTACCCATGGACTGAGACCTCTGAAACCATGAGCCAAAGTAAACCTTTCCTGCTGTAAGTTGTTCTTGTCAGGTATTTTGGTCACAAGAACAAAAATCTGACTAACACAGTAGGCCACACTTGTAGTCAGGAGCACAGGCTCAGAAGCCAGAGATTGGGGTTCCTAATCCAGCCACATGCAGAAGCCAAAGAGACTGATCCAGGGGTCAGGAGACCAGAGCTGGAATCCTGCTTCACTTCCTCCTAGCAGTGGGTCTTGAGCAAGTCACTTCCCTGCCAGCCCGTGGAGTGGGGCACATTGTTACTGAGAGTATTCATGCTTTATTGCTGCATCTGTAAAGTTAGGAGTACTAGTACCTATCTAGATCTTAAATAATATTGTGCAAAATATATATATTAATGCCAGCTCAGGGCAAGGGTCCCACATGTCTTAGCTATTGTGACTATTGTTGGGGAAGCTGAGGCATGGAGAGTTTCAGGAGTCTGCCCAAGGACACACACCTGTAAAGAGTGGGACATGTGCTTTTCAGGACCTCCCATGGTCCCAGCGTGAGATCATGGAGGGAGTATGGAATAGCAGTCTTGAAAAGGCACAAAGAGGCGGCAGGACGAGCATGTGTCCATGATGGACATTGCCAGGGCCAGCCCGGGTATCTCACAAACTCCTGAGGAAAGAAGGGCTTGGCCCTGACATGGGAAATCATGGCCTTGAGGAACTCAGCCCTAGCAGCAGGCATCTCAGCCCCCTCTGGCCCCTCACAACGCTTTCCTTCTGGCCTGGATGGGAGAGGGCAGGGGCAGCAGCTCAATTGAGGAGACTCCTTCTTGGACTACCAAGTTGAGGGACCTCCCGTTAAGCATTTGTTTCCTTTTCTACATAATATAACGACATGAAAATTGATTTTTTAAATAATGACAACAATAAAGCTGAAGGCTCAAAAGCAGCTGGACATTTTGAGGTCGACTATTTAAACTATCCTAGAATCGAGACTCCCAAATTAACGAATTTATAATCAAAAGACAGTGCATGTAGCATAACATGGTAGTTTAAGTTTTTAAGCCATAATTTCTTAACCTTCAAAAATGTAATATAGACCCTGGTCTTAAAATGTCAGTATGAGATTGCCAACCGCTGTTTCTCCTGTTTAGATGATGTCCCATTTTTTCTAGTGTTAAAGTTTCCTTTCTGTTTAGAAATAACAGTGACATAAATCATACCTTCAGGTAGCATTTAGGGTTTTTTCCCCCTTTTCCTTACTTAGTAAAACAAAATATGACATTATATTGACGCTGCCATTTCAAAAATAAATAAACATTTTTCTATGATTCCCAAAAATCTGGATCAGAGCAAACCTCTTTGCTTTTCCAGTGCAGAGACAGAGGCCTAGAAAGCCAGAAAGCGGGGGGGGGGGGTCCTGCCCTGAGCAAGGACAGTGGCTGCCTCCAACACACACCTCCTGGCTCAGACTGGTGTCCTCACCTCCCCCAGGTGGCCTCAGAGTCTTCCCTGAGTGCCTGTCCTGTCTCAGCAGTTTCTTTTCTCCCCCAAAATAGACTATTGACCAGTTGGGCACTGGAGAGTCACATTTTGAGCTTTTCTTTTGGGTGGGTGGGGTTCTCAGGGTCACCTGCTAGCAGTGACCCTGAGAGTGGAAGTTGGCAGCAAGTAAAATCTCCCTCTGGGGGACCCATTGGTCTTGCACACTCCATACTCTCCCCAGTGGTGAACGATGTGATATTGCAAATCATAATTACTAACGTAATGATTTATTAAGACCATTACCATAATAATTGATAACCAAGTATGTGTTTGTAACACCCCTTTATTGCTATATCTAATTAAACTTAAGAGCAGGCATTGCCCTGAAGGCCCCCAGGACGGGAAGCATGTTGGGGGGAACATTCTAGAACAGCTAACACTTGTTCCAGTGTGCTATGGGCCAAGCTCGGTGCTAAGTGCTTCCCATGGACCAGTTCTCAACCGAGAACCAGATTCTCAACTAGGGCTAATTTTATCCCCAAGGGACATTGGCAATATTTGGAGAACTTTCTGACTGATGCAATGGGCAACCAGAGGATAAAGATCAGGGACATTGTTAGATATTTTACAGCACACAAGACAGTTCCCATCACAAAGGAATATCTGGCCAAAAGTAACACAAGTGCCCAAACTGGGAAACCTTGGTGAACACAGTAAGGGCAATGTGCCAATGGCCCAGGGATCACTCTAAAACAGGACCACCTTCCTGCTAAAGGCCTGGAGAGACGATGTGTGGCACCGTGTCCACCACTCTGCACATCCTGCATAAGCACTGGCCATGGTCACGTTGTCATCATTACTAAGTCCCAAGTCAGTGTTTCCATGTCCAAGGTTTTGCAAGGACAGGGACTGCCCAAGCTCACACATCCAGGGTGGAGGACCTGGGATTTGCATCTCAGGAGTCATGACAGGGGAGGGGCTGCTGCCCCTGCCACCTGCTCACTGTCCTTGCTCAGGGCAGGACCCCACATTCTGGGCCTCAGGGTCTACAGTACACCATAAGGGGCAGGACATCCTGTTTCAGGCTCCCTCCAAGGGAGCAGGATGGCTGAGAAAGTGGGTTCTAGAGCTAGACTTTGCTTGGTGCCTCCCTCATGCTCTCAATCTATAAGGTAGGAGTGATGTCTGTCCCCACCTTAGAGCTGTGGCAATGATACAAGCAATGGGCAGCAGTCAGCGGGTGTCAGCCGGTCCTGAATTATTCTTGTCATATCCTCACCTCCATACTTCCCATCCTCAGCCTAGACCCTGTGTTCTCTCTGACCCCATCTCCCATGACAGCCCCCCACTTGCTTCACTCTGGTCTCAAATATGCCAAGCCTGTTCCTGCCAGGACCCTGGCCTTTGAACTTGCTGTTCTATTTGCCTAGAATTCTCTATCCCCTTCTCTCGTCTCCTTTAGGCCTGTGAATGTCACCTTTCCAACAAGAGCTACCCTGATGCTGTATTTTAGATTGTGCCTGTGCATGAACACACACATCCACACCCCCTACCCACTCCCCTGAGCCATTTGTCTCCATAGCATGTCGCCATCCAACTTGCTATAGATTTGCCTTATCAATCATGGCCTATCTCCTTCCAGGAGAATAGAAGTCCCATGAGCATGAGATTGTTTTCCTTTTTTGTTGACTGTTACACTCCCAGGGCCTAGCACAGTACCTGGTATGTAGAAGGTGCTCAGCAGTATTGGTTGAATGACTGAATGATGGATTTCAACTTAGAAGAAGCAAGTCACTGGGACTTGAGGGTCCAGAAGCCCAAGGAAGGGGCAGTGGTGGACACCAGCGTGTGGCGGAAGAAGGAAGGAGGGGCTGGTTTGCATTCCACAAGGGGCCTACCTCACTCTGCAGGGCGTGGGCTTTCTTGGCCCAGGCCAACTTCAGGTCTTCGGGTAGCGCTGTGAACTCGTGGTACTGAGTCCTGTAGTCATGGTCACTGGCCAGGGCCTGGGCCTTCCTGGCATGGACCAGGTGCACCATGTCCATGGGTAGGTGGCACTGGGCTTGGCTGCCGGCTGCCTCCCTCTTGTACTGATGCTCACTTTGCAGCTGGCCCATGAGCCGACAGTGCCGCAGGCGGGGGTCATCGCTTACACTGCGGATCCCGATGAGCTTCCCTCGCTCCTTCACAAAGTCGTGTCTGTAGAGAAACTGGACGGCAGCACCAGCGGGTCAGGGTTCTGTATCCAGCTGCTTAAATTCCATCTGTGCTACCCCAAAGACCCTAAAAAAATCACCTCTTACAAGAGGAGGTGAAGATTATAAGAGCCACCACGGCGGGGCTGGCCTGAGAGCTTGCCTTCCTCCCTGGGGAAGGAACAATTAAAACATTGCTCCATCTTTCCATCTAATTAGAATCAGATCCTTAGAACCAAAGCAAGGGTCCCACTCCCCTTACGTGTCCTGTGGCCAAACGGAATTTATCAAAAAGGGTAAAAGAGAAACTCGTGCTTCATCTGTTTGTGCTTGGCAAAACATTAAACCCAAAAGACAGGATCCATTTATTTGAAGTCCACGTTTTCTGTGATTTGTTTGTGGGAAAGAGAAAGTCACCTTCATGTCCCAAAGCTACAGACGTTATCAACAGAGTGGCTGCAACGCAGCTGGCAAACCCTAACACTGTGGCAGGAAACTTCAGGGAGCCAAGGGGAAGGCATGTTAGGGCTGCCTCGCCGTCTCAGGGGAGATCCAGTTCCAATTCTGGGTGGGGTTTCAAAACAGGCAGTTCACACATTACAGGGCGTCCCCAGACGGCCCAGACTCTGCAATTAGAAATAAACCACAAGCTCCTTCCTGCTGGAGATCGGTTGCCTGAATTTAGCTCCCGATTCACAAAGCATTTCTTTCCCTCCCTCTGTCAAAGGATCTCATTCATAACTAATATATTCTGCAGGTGACATCCTGTCTCTCATGGTTATAGATTTGCTTTAATTCAGGGAAATCAGCCACAGACATTGTTTTACATGAAGTTAACAGAGATTAGGCAAGATGGAAGGTCAGAACATTCCACTCACATCGCTGGCGATGTCCCCAGAGGCCCTTGCAGCCTGGAAGGGGAGCGCATCTATTGTCAGCTTGTAGCCTTGAGCACGGAGATTATGCCAAGACTCCTTGTATTTTGCCTAAAGTGGGAACACATGTACATCTTTTTTAAAAAAAAATAAATTACATGAATCAGTGAACAAAGGCTACCCCTTTCATTTGTAGCACAGGGCTCCAGAACCAATTTCTGAGAAGCAAAGACTTCCTATTTGGAGAGAAAAATCTCAGCACATCCTGCGGCAGGCTCTGAGCACACCTATGCACCCGACACATTTGGGCAAAGGTAGGCGGGTTGCACAGGGGCATCTAAAACATGCATTTAAAACATGCATCTGTATTGTGGCTCCTGTGAATGCCAGAAAGGTCACTGTCAGGGCTCGTCACAGACACACAAGCATGCACAGCTGGGAGCATGCTCAAGTTGGGCAGTAGGACAGGCTTACGTCGCTCAGATTGGCCGCATTTGTTTTTGCTCGGACAAACTCGGGCAGACCCAGGGTCATTGTGTACTGGTGTCTAGCATCCTCTCCAGCTGCTTTATAGAGACGCTGCCCGCAACCGGAAAAAAAAAAAAAAAGAAAAGAAAGAAAGAAGATAAGTGCTATGCGTTTCTGAAGTGCTGGACACTCCTCTTTTGTAACTGGGCAAACATGACAGCAAAAGATCATTCAATGTCAGAGGAACATCTGCCACCTCCAGGGAGACATTTCCTCCCATACAAGTCTTTATGGGTCAAATCAGTGAAACAGGAGAAATATATAAAAAGCTGCTATTTTCTTTGCTCAATAATAGGCCAGGGAATGATGTAAATTTAAGGATGCTATTGACATTTCTCACGACACAGACCTTGTCCTTGGGGACAAAGCATAAGATGATGCTAAGACCTGAGAGATTTAGAAGAAGCCCTGCCTGAAGGAAGGGGGCGCCCAGTCCTGTTGTGCATCCTGTCCTGACACCAGGGATCCTCCCCATGAGCAAGCCCATGCCAGGGCTGTCCTGGATGGCCTCATCCTCTACAGAGTATCGATCCTGATGATTAGAAAGGGGGCTAAAGGGTTGCTGAGTTCTCCGAGGCCAGAGGCCATCATAAAAGGTATTGTCACTGCTTGGCACTCAATTCACAAGAGAGGCAGGAAAGGTTAAATAAGAATTTAAAACGGATAACATCACTGAACCACACCATGAATTCCACCTCTCCAGACTTTTTTCTTCAGCTCACTTCTTACTTCTTAGCTTGGGGTGAAAGTGGAAATTAACAGTATCAATCATATTCAAGCAAGGCAGGATGGCACATGCCTGTAATCCCAGCTACTTGAGAGGCTGAGACAGGAGAATAGCAAGTTCAAAGGCAGCCTCAGTAACTGTGAAGGCCCTAAGCAACTTAGAGAGACTCTGATTTAAAAA